AAATTGTGAAATTTTTTCTATAAGCTAGTCTCATTGAGACCTTCATTTGTACAAAGTTTCAGATCGAAATTCGAACATATGACTTTGCTGAGAAAGTGGGGTCCTACAGAGAAAATTCACTAAAAAATGTGATATCTCGGTCCAGGTTTGCTATGGGGACGTAATATTTTAAATTTGTTAGTTTGGCAGTGAGACTGATAATTTGGCCAAAACATGGTAAAGAAAGTTTTTAACCAATACAAAAGATTCCATTGTCAGTTGTTTTTTAACAGTCTGCACAAATCAAAGATAATTATCTTCACTCTTCGTGTCTAAAAGAGAATTGTCGGCACTTCAGTATTCTTACTTATCCAAAATATCTGATGTTCGTTTGTATCGAGTTGATATTGTCTGAATATCCTACTCATGTTTTAGGTAAGCTATATGAATGATCAGGAATTGACATCTTCTGACAAGCAAACATTAGATCGAGAAATCCTTCAACAAGAACGATTTAATGAGCCAATTACAATCGCTTCAGCATATGCAAATGATTCAGAGAAAAATATGAATTTATATGTCGAAATAACTGAACGTTCATCTGAATGTTTGTTCAGTACGAATACATTACTTCATTATTTCACACTAAAATGTCTCATGACTAATCAGTCAACACCATCGAACTATGATAGTCTAATCGAATTATTTCGAACAAAATTTTCTGTTCCAGAAACAACTATTGAACAATTCAAAGAGACCTATGCACCCGATCGGGCAATACAATTTTATACGAAACACGGGTATATATATCAACCATTAAACAATGCTTTGCGTTCAATAAATATCAAACATCTTGTCCAATTTCGATTTATACTTAAAGATATTTATGATCAGGTAGGCGATCTAATGGCTCTTGAACTCAATCCTCAAACGAGACAAGTTTATCGAGGTCAACAAATGCATTCCTTTGAAATAATGGATTTATTTAACAGTTTCAAACAAAAAGCACCGATTATTGTTAATAGTTTCTTTTCAACGTCGCTTGATAGGATCACGGCCATCGCATTTCTAATTGGTGGATATGATAAAGAACAAACTATGACTCATGTTCCCGTACTTTTCACTATTAACATTCGAAAACAAGACGCATCATCTGATTGCCCATTGGCAGACATATCTAAATTGAGTAGCTTTCGTGACGAAACAGAAATATTATTTACACCAGGTCAAATGTTTATGATCGAGGATTTTCAAGAGATACATGAGCATGATATGATTATCTATTCGATTGAAATGAGACTTCACAATGAAACTAAATTAAATCTCAATGATCACTACAATCGAGTGATATCTCAATGGGAAGAAGAAACCCATGATTCATTAATTTATCTCGCTAAATTACTTATGAATTGGAATCGATACAATGAAGCAAAAGAATTATATGAACAAATACTAAATCAAAAGTCTGATAAACAGACACAAATGGTTTGCTACCAAGGCTTATCACAAATAGCTACATTCACGAATAATAGCGATGAATCAATGATCTATCAACAGAAAGTTATAGATTTAAAATTTGGTAATGATCATTCGTCACCGATACCAGACGGTATTCTAGTCTCAAGCGAATTTCAACAAAGTTTTTCTACATTTTTTGATAAATGTCAAAATGCTACAACACGATCATCGCTTAATCAACCTCTCAAAGAAGTTAGTAATTATTTAGGAAGCAATGAATGGAATGAAGTTTTGCATCAAACTCCACAAATGACACTCATGATTGCTCAGACATTAATCAACAATCAACAGTATCAATTGGCGATCTCATTTCTCGAACCAACTTTAATTATCATTAGATGGACGAACGATATCGGATTCAATCCATTGCATAAATCAGAATGTTATGAAGCCCTGGGTTATTGCTATCAACAATTAGGTATAAATGAGAAAGCTCTAGAATATTACACGTTGGCATTAGACGAAAATATTCATTTACCTCCTCAGCACCATATTAAAATACTGCTTGACGTCGGTAAAGTACTCGAAGAGATGAATCAATGGGAAGAAGCTTTACAAAATTATATCAAAGCAGCTGAAATCTATCAGACTGAATTACCAAATGCAGATTCAGAAGATGTTGCTCATGTCGAGAAACGCATTGAACAAGTTACATCATATCTTCTTCCACCGGATAAATAATCTAGCAGAAATGAACTCTTTTAATATTTTCAGTTTGTCTTTTCATTAGTTAAGTGTGTTCACGTGATTCAATTTTTCTATATAACCAAGCGATTTTTGTGCATAATAACATACAATCCCTATTTTTATCTCATTATATACGATATATAAATGTATTAAACATTTTTCATATTGGAATCGGTAAACTATTGAGAATAAATCTTTATTCTGCAATATAGTCTTGTAAAAAAAAATCAGACAAGAGACGAAATAGATTGATGATATGCTCATTGGGAAGTTACAATATGTTTATTGAAGTTAGGTTTGTGTGTCACACAACCAAAAATAGGTGGATAAGTGTAGAAAACCAACTTTTTTGTCATGCATACTAAATTCGTATGATTTTATACTCTTATGAGGAAAAATCTAAGTCTAACCGAAAATGAACCCATGTTGTTAGTTCGCTAAGAAATCGAATTATGACTTGAGAATTCCTTGCTGGATCCTGATTTTTCAACAAAATTGTCTTTTCAAATTTTGAGCTGAAACTTTGTCTACATAATGTCGTCGACTAGTTTAATTTATGAAACCAAAATTTCTGAACTATTGAAAATCATATCACTAAGGTATAAGTTCTTGTAAGTACATATCTTAATCATATAGTGTACACAAGTTAGTCTAATTGAGAATATTATGTGAAGTGTTAGATTCTTTAAGAACTTTCTCACGTAAGTAATTGAGTAAAATTCATGATTCTCGATTGATGTCATTAGTAGGAAAGTCTATTATTATATGTTTTCCATTAACGTACTTGTTATTAATAATATCAATTGGATGCAATCGTATTTGATGTTAAGTTAGATGTTATCGTTTAAATAACTATATATCCTCAATGTCAATGTTATTCACTTCTTCCTCATCTCTACTACTATTAATTACTGTAGGTAATTGACAGAAGGAATATTGAGTTGATTGGAGAAATTCAAACGCGTTATTTTAGATATCATTTCTGACGGGAAAACGAATGGAACAACTACTAGCTAGCAAAAATAGTGGTTTTTAATTTTTGCTAGTTAATCATTGACCCATTGATGAAAATAGGAATTTATTATTTTCATTTTGATCTTACGTTTAGTCGAAGGAAGGAATTCAGAGAACAAACCAATACGTAATACGTGAGAACATAGGAAGGATATCAATAGATATAAAACTTTTATTTTTAACAGCAGCGAAAATGTTTTGTAATTGACAATATCAACCAAGAAAGACTATCGAAAATGACAGAATTTATTTACAAGTGGTGGACTTGATAATGCTTTGTACACATGTTACGGGTTAATCCACAAGTATTACAAGCTCAAGCACAATTGGGTGGAAAAGATTTAATACCATTTTATAAATTATTAGAAGATGGAAGAGAAGGAGAAATTTATAGAGAAATGGAAGATTTATTTTATTATAGTCAATTAAGATTGTATGGTGATTTGTGAATAAATAAAATTTTAATAATATTTATATTTTTAGTCAAGATATAAATCAATTTGATCGTCGTGAAGTAACACGAAAAATTCCATTAAGTGAAATAACATTTGTTATGAAAGCATTTGGTTATTATCCAACTGAACAAGAAGTAATTATTAATAAAAATATTTTCAACAATATTGATTTTTTTCTCTATTAGATTGAAGAAATACTTAATGAAGTTAAATTCAGTACCTATGTGGAAACAAATATTAACGCTGAACATATTGATCTCAATGATTTTATTAAATGTAAACGTGATTTTTTATTCTAATGAAGGTATTTTTTGTTGTTTAAATTTAGTATATATAAATCATCGATCATCTTAATCATGCATTTGATGTTCTTTCCGATCAATTAAATCCGAAAGATGGTCAACTACAAATTAATCATGAAAATCTTTTATTTCTTTTACAACAATATGGTGAACATATGAATAATTATGAAATGGCTGATTGTTTATCAAATTTATGTCATTTAAATAGTGTTTCAACTGAAATGTTTGATACCATGAATGCTTATGATGCTTGTAAATTTATTTTAGTTTTTTCTTAAAATATTTTTTTTTTATTAGGTCTATTTATTGAAAATCAATTACCTGATCAAGTAACATTACAACACTTTTATGGAAGATTTATTAAAAATCCCATCACAATATGTTGATCAAGTTATGTGTTCTATTAAAGCAAAATAACGACATTGATCATCATTATTTCTATCAAAAGAAACTACGAATGACTCTTAAATAAATAATAAAAAAATTGAAAAAAAAATTGATATAAAATAAATATAATAAAACAATGAAAAGAATATCTAATTACTATTGTATACTCAAGTGACATAAATTGAACAACATCTATGTTCACAAATCAAACTCATATTTTCTTGAAAATAACAAAACCACTAATCGTTAAAGTTACTAAAAATATCAGTCACTCATTTCCTTTATTGTTCTCACTATCCATGTACGACATAAAATAAAAGACTAAATAAACAATAGCATCATGCGAAAATTATTGAGATATTAAACAACAATGAATACATATTCATTCGATTTGTAACATAAAAAAGAATCATATTCACATATGAAATAATTGACAGTCTTGTAGCACTTCGATCTGAATCGAATTTATTTAACCTATTGATTACCGGTATAAGAACGAAAATGAAATATCCCTTAGAATATTTTTATTCCTGATCTCATTTAGTAGAATTTTATGGATATAGAGTTAAGTCTTTTGTAAAGTATGAAATTCTTTGAAATATTCGGTAATACATAGTTTAATGTGGCATTCGCGAGATGTTGGTGACGCTATCGCTTCGGTTCTTTGCACGCTGTTCGATATTGCTAGAAACATAACACCTTCTTCGAGGAGTCTCATTCAGTTAATAAATTTAATTTAAAGAAAATAAGTTAAACAGACGCAAAATACGTTATTGACAGAAATCATTGATTAAACTATTGTTGAAAATGAAAAGATTATTTTATTATTAAATTTCTCATATGAATAAATTGTTTTAAGCTTAGAAATAAACACCTATAGAAAAGATGTTCACTCTATTTAAGAATATTCAAAGTGATAGTAAACGTCTGGCTCATTTGATAACATATATTAAATGAAATGTGTTAACATAGATAAGCGTCCTCTATCGGTATCTATCAATAAGTGGTTTAAATCAATGAACGCTATTCGCTCACAATTGAGGAAAACTACTCAATCATCATTTATAATTAATGAAAAATGATTCTCTTTTAATTTATTTTATTTTTAAAATCATTAATGAATATTTATCTTGAACATAATTGAAATTTTTTCTTGGAAAAAAAAATAAGATCAGCGAATTTTTTCGATATTTGCTTTAATAATTTGTTATGAAAAGAATAATTTATTTAATAAAATTTGATTGTTGATTATTATTGAATAAATTAGTTAATTATTAAAATATTTCGTAATATTCTATGAGAACATTTTGCAAGATATTGAAAGATAATATTATATTCGTCTATCATATGACGACAGATCTTATCTTATTCTTATCTATTAAAATAGTCCTTTGGAGACTTTGGATTCCTCATTCTGTTTTTATTATTCTATAGTGAATATATTCGATGTGGTTGTTGTTTTTCTTATCGTTGTTTGTTGGCGTCAGCGCAAATTTGTATCGATGTCCAAATAATGTACGTTAATTTATTTTAAAATAGATATTTTATTTAATTGAATAAATATATTTAAGGTAACTTGTTTATCACAAGAAACATGTTGCGAAACAAGTACTGGTTTATGGGCATGTTGTCCAATAAAAGATGGTCTTTGTTGTGATGATGGTATTCATTGTTGTGCAAACGGTCAAACATGTTTACCTAATGGACAATGTTCTTCATCTTCAAATGATATTAATGTACGTTTTATTCTTATTCTTATTTATTAATTAAATTGAATTTTTTGTTTAGCCTGCTTTAGCATTAAAAATTCGACTAAATCCAATTGATTCGGTTCCATGTCCAGGTTTATTTTCATTAGAAATAAATAAATGAAGAAAAAAAATACAAATTATATTTATATCTAGATGGAAGTTCTTGTCCTGATGATAATACTTGTTGTCAATTATCTTCAGGTCAATATGGTTGTTGTCCACTTGGTATAGTTATTTTTTTTATCGAAAATATTTTTAAAAACAAATAAATTTCTTTTTGTTTAGCTGATGCTGTTTGTTGTAGTAAGTTATCAAATTAAAAAAAAAATAAAAGAAAAAAAAATGTATTAAAAGGTGATCATCTTCATTGTTGTCCTCATGGATATGTTTGTGATGTTGAACATTCTCGATGTAAAAAAAAACTTAATAATTTAAATGATGTTCCATGTCCTGATGGTTCGTTTTATAATAATTCTTGTGTTTCTTTTTTAAATAATTTCTTTTCGTTTTATACTTAGGTTCTTCATGTCCTACTGGTTTGATTTTGTTTTTTCGTTTTTTTTTTAATTCTTAAAAATTTGATGAAATATATAGGTAATACATGTTGTCAATTAGCATCAGGAGAATATGGTTGTTGTCCATTAGGTAAATAAATATTAGTTTTATTTATTTCTATATAATTAATATACATATATGTATTATTTATATAAAATAAAAGCTGATGCGGTGTGTTGTAGTAAGTTATTAAAAAAATTTAAAAAAAAATATAGTTTAAATGTAAAAAAAAAAAGGTGATCATCTTCATTGTTGTCCACATGGATATACTTGTGATGTTGAAAAAGGTCAATGCAACCCGGGAATATCAATTCCATGGTTTAATAAAAACCCATCGTTTCATCGAAAACAAAGTTTGTTTTATTTTTAATTTGAATTTATTTATTAAAAATCAAGCGATATTTTATTATTAGAATTAATAGATCTTATTGATGATAAACAAATAAATATATATGAATTAAATCCATCGTCAAACTCAAATCCTGAAATCATTTGCCCAGATGCTACAAGTAAATATAAGAATGAATAAATAATAATTATTTAGTTTTGAAAAAAAAAAAGGTTTATGTCCATCAACATCAACTTGTTGTTTGACACCTGACTCAACATGGGGTTGTTGTCCAGTAGAAAAAGCAGTATGTTTTATTTTAATATAAATAAATATTTGAAAAAAATTTTGAAATAAAGGTTTGTTGTTCTGATCATGAACATTGTTGTCCTCAACATTACAAATGTGATTTACATATATTTAAATGTGATCATCCATTATTTGGATCAATAAATATGTTAAAAAAAGAAGCATCATTATATAAAATATCATCGAATTTAATTCTTTCAAATGATCAATCAACAATTTCAACAATTCAATGTCCTGGTTTGTTTTTGTTTTTTTTTCTATTTTTTATTTATTATTTATTAATAAATAAATTAAATTAAAGATGGAAAATCATATTGTCCGGAAGAAACAACGTGTTGTCAATTGAAAGATGGTTTGTTTTATTTCGATTTCAATTTATTTATTTATTTATTATTAATTTATTGTTAGATACCTATGGATGTTGTCCATATCCTCAAGCATCTTGTTGTTCAGATAAAGTTTGTTGAATTAAAAAAAAAAAACTATAAATAGAAAATAATTTGTTTAGATTCATTGTTGTGGAAATGGATATTCATGTGATGATAGTGGTAAAAGATGTATTCGTCATTTAAGTTCATTAAATAAAACTGATATAAAACCGTCTGCTCGAAAACTTTTATCATTTAAAATGAAAACAAATGTTGAATCATTTTCAAAATTATCTCCATTAAAAGATCAAACATGTCCTGATGGTAAAACAATATGTTCACCTAGTTCAACATGCTGTCCCAATAAACAAAATAATCAAGTTACATATTCATGTTGTCCATATTCAAAAGTAATTATTATTTTTTTTTTTATTTAAATTAATAATAAGTAAATCTATAAAATAAAATTTTAACGAAAATAAAAGGGTGTATGTTGTGGTTCAAATGGTTCAGTTTGTTGTCCAAATGGTTATACTTGTAATCAAGAACAACTTTCTTGTCAATTAAGTGATACATCAATATTATTGCGAGATGCTCCATCGGATACCGATTATAATCGTTGTGGAATATCAGATGTTGCTTGTTTAGATAGTCAAACATGTTGTAGAACTTATGGATCAAATGATGGTGGATATGCTTGTTGCGCCTTTGCTGATGTATGTTTACATTTATTTATTCACTTACTTTTATTTATTTGTTTTTATATAGGCTCAATGCTGTGACGATGGTAAACATTGTTGTCCGAGAGGTACAAGATGCGATGTTCAATCTGGTGGATGTGTTCAAAATGATTAACTTTTAAACAAGCTACGTTTTTATTTTTAAATTTATTTTTCGATAAGATTAAATTTTCATGATTTTCAAATAAAGTCTTTCAACTGAGATTATTCATACGAATATAATTAATTTGATCATCTCTCTTATTTTCAATTTAGTTTTATTTCTTATTATCAACATAAAAACTTATTAACTAAAGCTAATATTCAGTGGACTACATTTTATCATTGAATATTCATAAATAATTTATCTTTATTGAATTATTTTGAGTGCTCTTTTATGTCACTGTGTATAGGTAATGCAGGTGTTCAGAGACTCAACAAGTAAAAGCTAGCTATTGATCAGTGTGCGTGGTAATCTTTTCGAAAAATGAATAATAATGTAATGTAGTTCAAATGAAATTTTCATTCTGACATGAAAATTTCATTTGAACTAAATTACTCTATTATGCATATTTCTGAAAGATTCCCAAAAAAGATACATGTGTCGCAACGAATCTAGAATTTCTGACTTTTTAAAAACCATTTGGCTTCGTTCTAGGTTTGGCAAATAATTGCGATATTCGAGATTTTTTATGCCGTTTCATAACAGTCCCAAAAAAGAGGAACGACCTTGAAAAATTATCGAATTTGAAACTTGCTACAATTTATCCATATGAATTGCTACTATAAAACGTACAACGTCTATTATGATACTAATAGCAATAAACATGGAAAAAACATCTAAAAACAAAATCTAGCTCGCACATTACCCATTTCCATCTTGTACATAATATGTCGTCTACGAATCCTCAGTGAATCAGACCATGCATCACTTTAATAAATACAGGAGATAGATATGTTAAAGTAGAGCAAGAAATATTGAATATATATATATAGGAGATGGAAGAGATTTAAAAGAACTTAGCCCGAGGATAAAAACGAATAGATTACTATGAAATTTAAAATAAACCAAATCAAATGAGATATATTTTAAAAAACAATTTCTAAAGATCCTAATAATAATATAATCAGATTATATGTTTAAATCATAATAATATTAACATAAATTATAACAGAACAATAATAGTGAATCATAATACTGATACTCATTATAATAATGATACTATTCACAAAAAATCAATAATAATCCTAACATGAATATCTATATTCACATCAATCATAAAAATACAGATAATAATAAAATTAATATCATGCATAAATATATCAGCAGAAATTGTGAAAAACAAATATTCGCATGACAGATTATTATCTTTATTAGTTTTTTTTTCCTCAATAGATTTGGTTCGATTTGATTTATTTTTATTTTAATATTGGCAAGTCCTGTAAGTTTTTAACTCAAAACAGTGTTCAGTTCCAACAACATTCATTATCATACATACATTATTAATACTGAAGATGTATTAGGAAGATCTCAAACCTTCACGCACAACTAAATTGTTCGAAATTTCTATTAATAGATTATTCCATGGTATTACTTTATTTATCGCCATTATTTGAGTTCTAAATCTGATTATTGATATTAGTGTCAATGCTACTATTGATATAGATGTTAGTATTATTATTGATATTGTAAAAATAGCGTTATTATTACGCACACTGTTATTATCATTAGTGATTACCGTTATTAAGTAATGCTATATGTTAATAGAACTCTTGAAACATATCGGCTCATTATATCATTGTTAATATCTGTAGCATTATAGGTGCTCAATAGATTGCTTTTCATTTGATTTATTTTGATTTCATACGTACAAATTCTAAGATTTACTATTGAATAAAGGTTCGAATGAAATTCAATACCAATCTTTCTACATGATTTCTTTATAATATACACGAACTATCCTACTCTGAATTCAACCTACTATCACAACAACAAAAAAAACATACAAGACATTGAACCAGATGGGCTCTTAGCGAGAATATCAAAAAATTAGACTACTGATACCTATTTGAAAAGAAGTCACTGACTAATTGCCAACCGAATGAATTTTCAGCAGTCAGAAATAGATTCATCAAAATCAGATAGATCTTTCTACTTCAACACAAGCTATAAAATATGATTTAACCATTCACTTTTCCACAATCTAGCGTCAACTAATAATCTCACACATATAATTGGCACGGGAGGCGCTGATTTTCGCTAGGGTGACATAGTACTTTTTACTATTTCAATACTGAATATTACTTTTCTCAACCAATCCACAACATTGTTATTATAGTAAGTATTGTCTTTCTTTTATGCCTGTCAACAGTCTATATTTTTCTAACAGTATTCTTAAATTGATGACAATATAGCGATGTTATTCGATTCACTACATTACTCTTAGAACTAAATATCTTTAATTCCATAACGATAAACTTTTTTTAACATACAAAGTTAAAGACCGAGTGCCGGAGATCACTACCATTCAAGTACTAACTATTATAGCTGCAATACTTGTTCTTACTTTATGATCAAACAACACAAGACAGAAAAAAAACACCACTCAAAGAGTACCATAAAGGGTGGGTGAAAATATCTAACATTCTTTTCTATCGAGAGCGTACAGTGGCGCTATTTGAATTTTTCATTCAATGGATATCTTGCCATATAAGGATTTTCTCGATTTGAATATTTTTCATGTTAGATTATTCCATTATGTTATTGTGATTGGCTTCTTGTTCATTTTGCCGCAAATTCAAATTCCTCATCACGTCCACCAAATGTGATTTTTACCTGTACGTTCTTAATTGATGACCTCATAAACAAACTGGACGATAGATTCATTTTACATTTTTCTCTCAAAGAGTTCATTATTCTTTTGTTCACTGACGACAGCAACTATAAAGCAAACAACATATATACATGTATATATAGTTATATATTTCCGTGTAGCAAGAATTGTTCATTTGAATAAAATATGAATCATCCAGATATTCATCTTGTCGATCTACCAAATTAAATATTGCTTATGATATTGAAAAGACTTGGCAATATAAATGTACTGTATTCATTAATGGATGTCATCGATGAACAACTTGATATTCTCTATTACAAGATAATATTTTTACAAATACTCTCAATCTGATTTCAACATCGTCAACTGATGATCGAATACTAGATGGTTTTTGTATTGATATATTACCAAAAATTCATCATAATGTCAAACATCTTATTCTTGAATCAATGTCTATGGAGTGTATTCTTCTTGCTGGCAACTATTCAAATTTGACTTCTCTTAAATTGTTTAATTTCGGACAACATATCGCTTTAAATTATTTTACAGGTAATAATTCATATATGAAAAAAACTAAGATAGATAGTAGCATTTGAATAAAACTAGATGTATAATCTGATTGTTCTTTTTTGTTTTGTTTAGATAAGTCAATCTTTCAACATATTTTCAAATATCAAATAAGGGTGTGAGTGTGGGTGCGTGGGTGCGTGGGTGGGTGTGAGGGTGTGGGTATGTTGAAGAGAATATTCAGCCACACACCCACATCCACACCAACCCTGATTCGCACCATGAACAATCAAATTATTTATTTACTATCTAAAAAAGAGATTTTCTAACTAGAAGAATTGAAACTCTTACGTAAAAATATGATAAGTAGAAGATGTCCAATGAACACATACTATCTCGTAACAGGAAAACCTTGTCAAATATTCATTTTTCCTGCATCTAGTTTCGTCAGTATGACCTCAGTCTTATCTTTTCTTTTTGAATTTAGTTTCTAGGACATAACTCGATATTTTTTGCTTTAATATTGAAAATTCACCTATGAATTTTAGCTGTCACGGATACTGAATTATGATTCGATCCGATTTTGTCTCAACTTTTAGTGTATCTAAAATCATAGATGTAACTATCTTAGAAGTCTTTCGAAGAATTTGGATGCCGATTGAAACCGGGTAAATGATCTCATATCTGCGAGTTTTCGATTTAGTTCTTCATTTCGTAAATATTTCTCGTATATCCAATCCATATAACTTTGTTTGAATGATTTTGAGTATAACTTCGTTGAAGCTAATACATATTTTTGAAAAAGTTATAGTAGAAATGAGTAGAAAAACATGTTAAGAATTCTTACTATTACACGTTAATTTCCAAATTTCATCTTGATCTGCAACCATTTTGAACAACAGACAGACAAGTGATACACCACAAGGTCACGAACAGACAAATTTTGAAATATCCGTAAAAGAATTTCTATTAGAATACGATTAAATGCAGATGCACATAATGCATTCTGCATCTGAGCGGGTGCCCACAAATGTTTCCAGGTAATATACGGTGGGTTCCTCTGTCTTGCAACAGAAAATGCAACCACTGCATCATCTTCTCCCTTTTTTCCTTAGAGAATTGTTTGAACATTTAATCTAGAGAAGATAAATAGGTAAGATCATTCTAGTAAAATTACGGTAGGATCTTGACTAAGATGAGCACAAACGTCTATCAGCTCAATTCTAAATATCCAAGCAAAGACTTTTTTTATAAGTATGGCTGAATTTCAATGCAAAGCCTGTCTTCCGATGCGTATTGCACTATATTAGTCTTAGCTGCTAGCGTCCGTCGGATGATTCATTGGGTGAGCTATATGTATCTACTCGTGTATGTCGGCCTCTATGAAATATCTGCGAAGCTAATCTCATCCAAAGAAGTCTTTGTGCATTATTCACTGAAAAACAAAATAAAGGTCGTTAATCATTGTACATATTCGAAACTATCCCATTAGGGTAAGAACCGAGCATCGCTGAATTACTATAGAACCATTCTTGTATTCTTTAATTATCCTTCATAAAAACATAGAGCGCTTTACTAATATTGTATTTACACCTATCATTGACTTAAAAGTTATTTGGTGGCTAGAAATGGTTTCTATGTCATGAAAATCGGAAAGATTTTGATGATTTCTGAAAAAAACTAAACGTAAAATCGCGATTAATCGGCACGTGTTCAACAATATCAACGACATGAGCTTCTTATTTCTATTTTAAAGTTAAATATGTTTTCTAGAAATATCCTTAGCCTTTAATTTTAAAACTTAAATTGGACATACACGACACAAACTTTTACCGTTTTGTTCTACATATTGGTTCCAAATTCAAAGTACGAACAATTGTATGAGTTAACTGTTTTTGATGTGCTACGTATGAATAGTCTGAAGCTAGAAGAGCTCTAGCAAAATCTTACTCATTCGATAAGAAATCAATCTAAAATAATACAGAAAAAGTTCACACTTCGAAAAAGAAATACTCAATGGCTTATTTGATCGTTACTTCCGTCGTACAATGGCAACGAAACTTGTTAAATACATAAGAGAGAAATTGTTTATTGACAGTAGTGATGATTCATCTTATTGAGTGTGGCTGTGGCTGTGAATAATAAGAGTATGTGCACCCATACATCCACTCTAGCCAAAGACAAGTTGTATTACTGACTACATGTAATTAGAATTCATCTCGCTGTCGGAGAGATTTATAATGCGATCTCAGACTCTATCATGACTTCCCAGATATGAGTGGGCATAGTCGTGCTTTCTTTCTCTCTTTGCCGTTGTTGCCCTTTTTGTCTCTTTTTTTTTCCTATCCTGCCTCTCACGACAGGTATTTTGTTCTCCTTCTGATGTGTGCTTACCTGTTTGATTTCTTTTTTCTCTTTCTCCTTCTTACCTCTGTGTGTGCACGTGTGTCGTCACTGATTCGGATCTGCAGCGACACAACAATAATGTGAGTGTGTCTCACAGTATCGAAAAATTATTTTGGCCGTCGTTAACTGGTTGTCTCTCAGTAATATAACGAACAGGATGGATAAACACGATAATGAAACAAAGAAAAGATTGTTCGTTGCTATTAAAATTCCTGAAGAAATTCAATCGCAAGTGCTACAATTGCTCAAAGAAGAAGAATCACCAAAGGGAGTTCGTTGGCAATCTGGAAACAAACTACACATAACGCTCTTCTTTATTGGAGATCAGTCTCTAGAAGAAACTCTACACGTAGTCGAACTCTTGAGAAAAATTAACAACAAATCGGACCTGTTTCAATTTCAATTGAATATGAAAGGAGTTGTCAGATGTCAATCACGAACATTACGAGTTATATTTGAAGAAAGTTCAGATTTAGATGTTTTGGAGAATGAAATACAGATCGCACTTCAGCCTCTTGGTATCAAATATAACTTTTCTGGAGGACATGCAACTCTCGCAAGACTCAATGAAGAAGTTCCAGAATATTGGATCGAGCAGTACATCAATAGTCATCCACCATTTTCTATGACTCTTCCTTCATTTACGGTGAAAGAATTTATTTTATTCGAATCGAATTTAAAGACAGAAGAATACATTGTGTTATATACATTTCCACTTCCCGCATTGAACTCAAATTTCGCAGTATTGGAGCAGATACACTCGTGACTTATTTGCTGTTATAAATTTCATGCATGCAATTAATTCATGCTGCTCAATTCAAATTTTTTTATAGAAAGATCTCAATGATATCTCAGCTTCTCCGAGCGAAGCGTTCATCCATGGCAACCTCGTCAAAAACTGTTTTTATGTGAAATGTTTTTCTTCTGATGTATCGTGTGCCCATTTTCATATTTCGTCCACAATGTGGGTGTGGGTGTGGGTGTGGGTGTGGTTGTGGGTGTGGTTGTGGGTGTGGGTGTGGGTGTGGGTGTGGGGTGTGGGTGTGGGGTGTGGGTGGGTGGAGGTTGAGATGTGGGTGTGACTTTTTCTTTTGTCGTTACCCACACCCACGCCACACACAAACCCATATTCCCACACTCAGACCCATACCCACACCCACACCTCACCCCCCCCCCCCCCCCCCCCCCCCCCCCC